GAGCGTCTTCCGGCGCCCGCGGCGTCCCCCGTGCTTGATTTCCGCGTTGTGTGTGCCGTAGGTAGGGCCTGGGTAGTGGCGCAGGGTATTCCGAGGTGGCGATGAAGAGGAACTGAGAGTCGGCAGTACAGGGGGAAAGCCGCAGGAGCCCAGAGGGGGTCGGTGTACAGAGCCTGGACCTTCAGTGACAGCACAGGTGATCCCTTTGCGAGTTAACGGTCTCTCTTTCCTTTAGCAGCTAGTAAGCTCTCTGTCAGGGCGCAGGGTTGCAGGAGGTCGGGACGGAATGAGGGATAGTTCAGCATCCAGCTCAGCTTCTTCATCAGTGGCAGGTCTGGACTGCAGCCCCCACACTAGGTCACACGTTTGCCTGAGTGCAGTTGGAGACTTCAGGGGAGCACCAGAGAATCGGCTTGTGTGAGGCCTTGTGAGGAACCTTCCAACTGGGCGCCTTGCTGGGCTCAGGACATCTTGGGGAAGCAGCATTATTTTATTGGCTTGAGTAGTTCTTAATCGAAATTTGCATCTTCCAAAATAAAGAGTTAGATTAAAAATGTCTGAGTTTGCATGTTCTAGTGGGACTTCCAGCCCACTTGTGGTTTTCCCTATCTGGGAGTTAAGAGAGAAATGCAGGGTACAGCCTACCACTGCAGCAGGATGCAAATCATTCTGTTCCACCAGCTGGAGTTACTGTTAATTTCTGTAATGCTGATTTCTTCTAAGGAGTCCATATCAGGTTATTTCTATGGTAGGCAAACACAGCCTAAAAAACCCCAGCCCTAACACTTAGTGTTTCTGATATAAGAAAAGAGATGAGGTAGACAAAAATGGAAAAAGTAGTGGTCTCAGTGTATGGTGGCTTAAATGTTCGTATGCACGGTTTTCCTGGGTGCTGATCTGAACAATCAAACTCTTCTTTGCACCCTCCTCCCTTGTCCTTCATGCAGAGAATATCAAGCTAGGAAATAAACCCTTATATGCTTTACTTTAGATTTTGGGAGACCCACATCAGTCTTGAAATACGTGCATATTTGGCACATACCAGTCTGTGAAAGAATGAACAGGCTGTGGGAGAATACAAGATGGATCAACTTTTAGAGCTAGGAAATCTGGATCTGCCCTATTCTTCCTCACACACACCCCAACCCAACCCCCAAATCCCTCTTGTAATTTATTTCTTAACAGACAGCAAAGTCAATTAAACCATGGAAATAATTTGGTGTTGGTGTGGGCAAGGCATTTTTGTCCTTTCTAAGGCCCACTTGTACAATTCGCTTCAAATCAGGTGTTGCTTATGGCAATATCTGCACATATTCAGCATGTTATAAGAAGACATTCAGCTTGTTTTTCCCGAGTTAAAATTGTAATACCTGGGGTGAATGTTTAGCACACTTTTGACTAGGAGAAGGAAAAGCATTTCATGCTAGCATACCGGTTTTGTTTGTGGGACTGTATAGTAAATTGGGTTTTGTCATGGTTTAAGCTCAGCCAGTATTTCCAGGCGGTCTCCCATCCCAGTGCTAGCCAAGTGCTAGCCAAGTTTATTCTTAAATGGGAAGACATTCAGGCATTGTCTTGATGCAGTTGTACTGAGGTCGCTGAACTGTTTCAAAGCAGTGCACGATATACTGGGAGAAAAAAGTTCTGCTGTTCTGCAAAAGGCAGTCTGCCTGAACAGTTGGACTCGGATAAATATAGTTGGGTAGTTCAACTGATGGTAATTTTTTCCCCAGTATTTGTTAGAATCTCTGGAATTACCATTCTGCCGTCTGTTCTTTACATTTGTTTAATACTCTTAAAAGTGTAACAGTTGTCATCCTTTTTTTGTCTCCCCACCACCCCAGAAAAAAACCCAACAACTACTTTTAAGCATCGAGTAAAGCACCTTTGAAAGGTTTTTGTGATTTTTTGGAGTACTTCTGAAGCTTCTTGAGCTGAATGTTAATGCTTGCTTTTGTTCAAGGAAGAGAAATGGAACATTATATGGCATTTAGTATTCATGCCTGAGGTGCTTTGTAGAACCAGGTTTACTGACCCCTTCACTTTCTTGCCTGATAATCTACCGAACAAAATAAAAGGTTTTGTGAGAATGCTGAGCCTTAGTGCTGCTTGTTTTAGACAGAGCATGGTGCTGAGCAGTGGTATAGCTAGAGAAAAATGCTAAACGTGTCCAAAGACTAAGGAGTGTTTTTAATTTAAAAAATGAATGTGTATTTAAGCAAGTTCTTAATAGAACAAATGACATAGTTTTTCGTGCCCAAATGTAATAAGCTACTTTTCACCTCGTTTTGCAATTCTAGGGTGCAGTAGAGCCCATGCAGATTGACGTAGATCCACAAGAAGATCAGCAAAATGCACCTGATATCAACTATGTGGTGGAGAACCCCACTCTGGTATGTGCTGGTGAAGGGCTAGTGGGTTACGTGTCTTGGGCATGGCCTCTTCCTTTGAGGTTTCGGAAAAACTTCCTCATTTTACTCCTTTTCAAATTTTTATGTAGAGATTAATAGATTCTCTTCAAAGCAAGGTGGGGTAAGAATAGCCCTGACCTTTTCTGTAGCTCCTTGTCACATACTGACCTCTACTGCACCTTCTTGAGATGAAGGAGGAATCGCTGCTCTGTGACTTGCTGCCTGTTTGAGACAGTTTCCATTCTGAGATGGTTTAGTCCATCTCCGATTACTTAGAGGTGCATAATTCCTTTATTTTGAGGCTCGGTCTTTGAGGAGCAAGGTTCAGGTGCTTTAAGTATGTAAGTGAGGATTAAATTCTTTCATTGTTTAATTCTCTGGAGGCTGACTAAAGCCCACAGAACTGTAGAGTTATAAAAGGCTATATTTGCTTATATCAGTTTCTTCAGTTTTTAGTTAATTGTTTGATACCTTGAGCAATTTTTATGTATTAGCTCTGTAACAGTGAGAGATGGGTGTCGCAGAAGAGAACAAAAATGTTGATTGGAAAACGTTAAAGCAACATTAAAATTGCAAAATAAAGCAGTTACTTAGGAAGCTTTGGATCTCATATGACTTCTGGACCTTTAAATGGTTCCTCTTGTCCCTGTGCCTTATTAACAGTTGCCATATGGTTACTCACTGTGTACTGCACAGCCCTCTTTTTTAGTTTTTTGTTTGTTTGTTTTGTCTTTTTTGTTCAATGTTTGGTTTGGTTTTTAGCATATGACCTGATACCTTGTTTGATTTCATTGCATTTCAATTCTGTTCTGAAGCTAGAGTGATGAAGCAATTACATCATGACCTTTGTCTTTGCTATTACTATAGCACCTAGTGTGCCACAAAACAGCAATTTTCTTTTCACCATAACTGATGTGAAGGACCATAATTCCCCTTTGACATTCAAAGAGCTGAGGAGTAAAGTGAAGTTACTCAGGGATTTCAGGAGTATTGTACCCCATGAGGCATGAAGCTGTGGAAGAAAGAATGCTCCTGTCGTTATATTTTTGAAGTTATGTGGCAAGTAAAGCAGGAATCCTAAACACAAATTTTCAGTGTACGCGGTCGTGTTCCAGTCTCAGAGCAAGGTCATTCTTGCCCTGAGTCAGGTAAGATCATGTTAGAAAATGCTACTGTGACATCTGTAACGGTATCTTCATTCAGACATGCAGGGCTGAGGGGGTCAGACGTGACACAGGATGTATTTTAGATGTGGGCAAGCAACCTGCATCGGGTGTTTCCTACTGGCGGAATGCTTGACTTTGCCCTGAACGCTCTGCTATGGTTGTTTGCATGTGGACTTCTGTCTTCAGGCAATCTCCCTGCCATGCCGTATCACATCTTTACTAGTCATTTTGTGCTTCTCTTCTCCCTTCCACCCCAAGGCTTAAGATCTGTTAAGTATTCAGAATTTTAAACTCACATCCTTCCTCAAGAGTGAAAGATTAGTGGGAGAAAAAGAATGCAAACTGTCATATGGGAACTATTTTGAATTATTTTTCAAGGAAAAACTACATCTGGAATGGTTGTCTGGTTTAGGAAACTTCAGCTCAATTGATGGAAACTTGATGAGGTTATTAGCAGGTGATTTAACTGATGCTTACAATGGGTGAGCTGATGCCTTATGGACAGCATCCCACTGAAATAAAGAAAGGGAAATTGTGATGTACTGCATGTTTCTGAGGAAATTACTAACCTTTGAAGAAAACAGAAATGGAATAATCTTACCTGAGTTTTCATTTGTCTTTGTCACGTTGCCCTCCAGAGAGGGGTCAGGGCTGCAGGCAAAGCTGTGCAGGTCACAGAGGAGTAGCCTGATTTTTGTGTTGCGTCTTCACCTTCTAAGAGCAGGTGTGCTTTGCAGGATTTGGAGCAGTATGCCTCGAGCTACAGCGGGCTGATGCGGATCGAGCGACTGCAGTTTATTGCTGATCACTGCCCCCAGCTGCGGGTGGAAGCTCTGAAGATGGCTCTGTCATTTGTCCAGAGAACTTTCAATGTTGATGTGTACGAAGAAATCCACAGAAAGTTGTCTGAGGCCACCAGGTACTTAAAGATCGTGGGAACCTGGGGAGCTTTTTTATTTGAGTTAAGGCCAGTTTGGGACTTTGCATGTAATGATAGCATGTTCTTTATGCAAATAATAGCATGTTCCTTAGAATTTGACAGCAGTGAAATATCTGTGTTCAGGCCTAAGGTCTCATGTTTTTTAAAAAGATTAACACAGAAGACATAATCTCATTCTGAAGTCTTAGTGTTTTAAAAGGCTACAGGTAGGTATTGAGGAGAGTTTAGTCCTGCTTCAAATATTAATGAACACAGTTGTCTTTTCTTAGTAGATTCTGGAGATGAAGCCTCTTCTAGATGTTCTGGTGTTCAGAAATGAAAGCAGTTTGTCTTCTTTTGGTTTGCACCACACCCCCCCCCCCCCCCCCCCGGTTTACTGGTTGAGGGTAGCCTTTGATACATCACTTGGCCATCCACACTTCCTGTCTTTGCATTATTTTTGTTGCTGTGCATATTGATTCTTTTCTATTTCGCCCTGGGAGCCTTTACCATGTGTGTATGACAGTATGTTCATTGCAGTCTGTGAAAAGGACTGTTAGTAAAAAAACCCAAAGAACCCACCCAGAAAACTCAGACTGTTTAAAATACTGCCCTGTGAGTTCAGTGCAAGTAGATATGTTGATTTAAGATGGATGGAAATAGAAGTTGAATAGTATCTGCACAGTGTATGTTTGCAACCAAGCCATTACAATATTGCTGGGGAGAGGGCTCATAAACACTTGCACCCTGTGTCCCGTATAGAGGTGTTTGATTGGATTCAGTAACTCTTTAAAGTCATTAAATATTTCCATTGCATCTCTCTTACTAACTTGCTTTGAATTGATTTATAGATCAGGTTGTTTCTTTAAAAGTAGCAATGACTTGCTTGTCAATAAAATATCCGCAGAAGATCAGTAGGATAATTTTGAGAAGAATCTGTAAACATCTGTGGTGCTTTCATGATTGATGTTACTGTTTTCACTGGAAATCTTGGCGTATTCCTTCCCCGCTCCTTGTTTTCTCTTCGGTCGGGTTTGTGTGTGCTGGACTGTTTGTTAGAGTATCAGGGCCACTTAGAAGACCTCTGTTTTGAAAAGCTTGCAGCATAATAGCCCCACTCAAACTCTTTCCTTTCAGAGAACTGCAGAATACACCTGATGCTGTCCCTGATAGTGGAATTGAACCCCCTCCTCTTGACTCAGCTTGGGTTGAAGCTACACGCAAAAAAGCTCTTCTTAAACTGGAGAAACTCGACACAGATCTGAAAAATTACAAAGGGAACTCCATCAAGGAGAGTATCAGGTGAGATGCAGAAGGCTCTGCTGGAGCAAGGAAGAGCATTTTGCTCCTCCAGGCACCTAACACAGGATGTCAACTATATTCAGTGCCTTAGGTCAGTGTGTTGAGTTACTTGTTTGGAACAAACTGACTGTGTCCCTTTCTGAGCACACAGTTCATTGGTATTTTAATTCCTGTGCTCCAGGAGAGGCCATGATGACTTAGGTGATCATTACCTTGACTGTGGGGACCTCAGCAACGCTCTCAAGTGTTACTCACGAGCCCGTGATTACTGCACCAGTGCTAAACATGTTATCAACATGTGCCTCAATGTCATCAAGGTAGGAGGGTTTGCAGGAAGTGGTACTTGGTGTCTTTCTGATATCTGCTATGAAGCCCATCTGTACTTTGCTCTGGTTACACTTCTCATGTCTGCAATGATACTGCTTATCTAAGTAACACCATTTATCCATGCCTGTTCTACACTGTTTCTGGCTCTCTACAGGTCAGTGTCTACCTCCAGAATTGGTCTCATGTTCTGAGCTATGTAAGCAAGGCTGAGTCTACACCAGAAATTGCAGAAGTAAGGTCCTGCTTTTTAACTTGCATGAGTATTCCCTTTTTCTTCTGTCTCCAAAATTTGTAAAACTATTTATTCCTTTCCCCCTTCATTACTTGCTCTCTATAAAGACTCCTTTCATCTTACAGCCTGTTCTTTCTCTAATTCAGTCTCCTTGGCTGCTGTATTATTTCTTTTCTGTTGTTGCTTTTTTCCCCATGATTTGTGTGTAGGAAATCTGACTCATGGTAAAAGCAGAGACACTTCTTATCCTCAGTTCTTGCCATATTTCCCAAGACAAATAAGGTGAAGTTATCTTGCTGTTGAGATTTGCAAGTTAATTATTAGGATGAAATATCTCAAAGACAGTTGTGATCAAAATGGTTTTTATACTGTTTGCTCACTACTGCTTTTGCTTAACCTTTAGCAAAGAGGAGAAAGAGACAGCCAGACACAAGCAATTCTCACCAAACTGAAGTGTGCAGCAGGTGAGTGAATCCTTCAGCTTCCTGTATTGTCTGCCCATCTTTCTGCCTGTTAGCTGTCCACAGGGGTCTTTGATGGCAGTGCACACTTGGTTTATTTTTTCTCTCAGATGTGACAGACTTTCTATTTTCTCACCAGAAATGCAAAATTTGATAAAGCTGATGAGATGTAACTGCTGACTTGCTTCTGCCGTTTCTTTTTCTCCCTAAGTTTCTTCAGAGAGGGTGCCAGTGTGAGTCAATGTAGTTCAAAGGACACTAGATGCTGCCTGAGAGTCTCATTTCATTTCAGTGTTGAAGGCATTACCAACCATGCCGGGGGCCTCTTGGACTCCCCAGGTGTTGCAGTTTCTCCTCATTTGTATGCTATAATAAACTGACTTTTCCTGGTTCCTAGGCTTGGCCGAACTAGCTGCTCGGAAGTACAAACAGGCAGCAAAGTGCTTCTTACTGGCATCATTTGATCACTGTGATTTCCCTGAGGTGAGGACTAAGAGGGAGGTGTGTGTAGGTCTTGGAGGGGATATAATTCTTCTAAGTATTAGGTTGTAAAATTCAGATGTTGTAGTTTTTTTTTCATTCCTGCATAGTTTGGTGGTGCCGTGAATTGTGTTAGTTTTTGGGCTTTTGGTTTTGGGCTCTCATTTTTCTTTTTTACTCTCAGTTCTTGGGTTCTCTAAATGATCTACTCTAGATCACATGGGAATTACCTGTGAGAGTTGTGTATCTCACATCTCAGGTCTGTGTATTTGTAGCTCAATCACTAGACTGTCTGTTGGAATTGGCTTCTGCTCTCCTAGCGGTGGACAGTCACTCAGGCTCTGGGTGAATGCCTGAGAGCATGTTGAGTAGTTCCACTCCATTTGACGGGGACTAATCTTGCCACTTGTGATGAGGAGGCCTGGGGCAGAATACTTAATTCCATCCTTCTGCCATTTTAGCAGTCAGTAACAGCTTCCTGTCTCTCTCCCTGCCCTCTCTCCAGCTGTTATCTCCCAGCAATGTGGCTGTGTATGGTGGTCTCTGTGCCCTTGCTACCTTTGACCGTCAGGAATTGCAACGAAATGTTATCTCCAGCAGGTAAGTGGTGCCTTGAGAGGAGTTTGTCTTTTGAGACATGGGACTTTGGTTGAGAGTGGATTCTGTCAGGAGTAATAGCTTTCTCATACAGGAGAGAAAGAATCACAGAGCCTCCAGAGCCTCAGTTTGGCTTTAGCATTAAGTGACTTTTTACTGTCTAAACCACAGTGGTTAATTTCCTGTTACAATGGCAGTTTCCAGCCCACGTCAGATCCAACATCTGCATAGCCCAGTTGTCTCTCTCCATCACTGGTGCATACTGGATATTATTTCAGAGGTATAGAACCCCACAGAGGCAGCTGTAAGATAATTTGCCGTCGTGTTATCACTTGTTGTGGTGTACATTAGTTTATTAATACAATTTAATAATGCATAATACAACTCCCAGCGCAATCTAACTACGACATATATGAGGTTAAGAGAATTACGGCCTTGGGAAGCAAAATGGATATTTGTGTGTCATAGATTGAATTGCAGTGATACTGAATTCCTGTCAGCTAAGTGTGTGGAAGCACTGATTTTAAACTGATGTGGGAAAAGGGTTGTTATCCTACTATTTTACTGGCTGGTTCATTGGGTGAGATCTCAGGGTTTGCAAATCTGTGATGGAGAATTGGGAGATCTAAGAGTGTGCATCCCCAAGATTTCCCACATTTATGATAGGTTATTTTCCTAAGACAGTTGCATGCTCAACCTGCCTATGCCAGTGCTGTCCTTGGTGAAGGCTGTGTTTTGAAAGGGAACACAAAGCTGGCCAGCACAGACCACCATGCATGCACAAACATGGCCTATTTTTTCTGGTGGTGTGTCCTCATTTTGACCTATTCCCACTGATATTTTTGTGTTTTGTGTTGCCAAACACTTCTACTGCTTGGTTTGTCAAAAGTCTTTTGCCTTCCTTCACCATAGCTCTGATGCTGTGCTGCATCTCTTTTGGTCCGGGCTCCCAGCCCTGTTGAAAATGGGTTGTGTGGTCTGCAGAGAGTAAGATCCTGGCATTTTCAAGTGATAGTGAGAGTTTGTAACCTTGCAACTTGGAGTGATGGGGTTGTGGGGTATTTAAGTGGTGGGTTCCATATCTTATCACTGCCATCTTTACCTGTAGCTCCTTCAAATTGTTTTTGGAGCTGGAGCCACAGGTTCGTGACATCATCTTCAAGTTTTATGAATCTAAATATGCTTCATGTCTGAAGATGCTGGATGAGATGAAGGTGAGTTGCAGGGTAAGAGTGCAGAACCAGACCCTTCACCTGCCTTTTGTGAGAAACGGTGACTGTTAAAAGTAGCTACTAAGAGTGTTCAGCTCTTCTGTGTCCTGTCTCCTGATGCAGCAAGTGGAAATTGGGAGTAGTTTAGCAGGTTTTTTAAGATATATTGCTGTGTTTATTCATTCTTGGTTTATGGTATTGTCTTGCTGTAGTGTAATACCCTTAAGGGTATTGGGTTTGTTTTGTTTGCACAGGACAACCTGCTGCTGGACATGTACCTTGCACCTCATGTCAGGACACTTTATACCCAGATTCGAAATCGTGCCCTTATTCAGGTAATTGTTCCTGTAATCCCAATAGTTGGATGAACAGTAAGAAAGGCCATCTCTGTAATTGCTTTTCCCATGGATTTCCAGAGGGCAGCGAGTACAGTTGGCAACTGAGTATTTTCTTCTTCCTAGTACTTCAGCCCCTATGTGTCAGCAGATATGCGCAAGATGGCCACTGCTTTTAATACCACAGTGGCTGCTCTGGAAGATGAACTTACTCAGCTGATCCTGGAGGGACTGATCAATGCCAGAATAGACTCGCACAGTAAGGTGAGTGCATCAGAGCCACTGAACAGCCGTACCGAGATCAGAAACTCTCCATTCGGGAGCGCTTTGAAGTTGCATTCATATGTTGTGGCTGGTACGTTCAGTAGGGCTGAGCTGTGTGTTAACCTCGGAGTCCATGATACCTTGGCTTTGTTCCCTTGTGCAGAAAGGGCTTCCTGCTGTGGAACCCTGTCATAGCTCCTGTGTACAGTTCTCTGTATTGGTTCCAGATTCTTTATGCTCGAGATGTAGATCAGCGTAGCACAACTTTTGAGAAGTCTTTACTAATGGGCAAAGAGTTTCAGCGCCGTGCCAAAGCCATGATCCTGCGTGCCGCGGTCCTGCGCAACCAGATACATGTCAAGGTATGGGCATGTTAAATGTGGGCTTTGAGACAATGTAAAGATGTTAAAGTTGGGTTTTTTAACTGAAACTGTTCAAGTTGGTGAATTGAAGATTCTGGAAATGGATTTATTGTGCTTATGACTGGACAAATTCTCACAGTAGTAAATATATAAGGAACAGATGTTTCTGGCCAATACATTGACCTGCTTGTACAGTGCCGAATGTCCTTTGAAGTTCACATGCTTGGGTTGATTCTAATTTACTCATTCATTACATATCTTTTATCAAAACGAAGATTGTTTTAAGTAATTTTTTTGGTAGAGGAAGTAAAAAATGCATTAATTGCTTGGAGTGTTCCTTCCAGGATGCAGTTCCAAAAGAATGTCCCGAGGGAGGATAGGCCATCTGCCACAGAACATGTAAAATTCTATAGTATATTAATCTCTATGATAATCTCTCAGGTAGGATTCAGCTTCTGGGGCCAACAGCAACTTGTACGTGTTAATAAGAGTGGATTAAAAGTTCTGGTTTGACTTCTTTAGTAACAGTTCTTGTGAACTGCGACTGTAGAAGTTGCAAACACAAAGCTTTTGAAAGCCATCACTATTTATAAGTTTAGGGTGTGCTCTCCCACTGCTCTTACCTGCTGTGCTTCACCTGTGCTTCATTTGGTCTCTGAGGAAGCACCCTGCAGGATATTTACACATCACTAACTAGGGTGTGTTTTGGTCTTGTTGCAGTCTCCTCCGAGAGAAGGTAGCCAAGGGGAACTTACTCCAGCTAACAGCCAGTCCAGGATGAGCACCAACATGTGAAAAACTTCGTGTACTACCAAAAGAAATGGTCCCTCCAGGACTGTACCCAGTGTCTCACCCACTAACTGCTGAGCTTCACAAACTGTCCCTGTCTCCCTCACTTCTTGCTCAGATTGAGAGGGTCAGGGCTGATGGTGGATAATAACGAATATTCCTATAACTTCCAATTCTCCTTGAAAAGAAATTCTTTCTAGAAACAGCATCCCTGCAATGGGTCATCATTTCAGTTTTGGTAGAACATCTTCCTCCATTCTCCTTCTCCACCACTCCATAAAGAGCTGTCAGGTTATTCACACAGATGCTGTTCTAAGAGTTTTTCAGCTGCTATTAGTTTTCATGTTTCAAAGCTGCAAAAATAAGTGTTAAGTTGAATGGACGTGTGTGATCTAAGATGAATTTCACTAGCCTGAAAGTTTTGCCTTGATTTTGAGCAATGCTGAGCTTTCAGTTTATTCCAGATAAACTTCCATTGCTTGCAGTTATGGAGCCGGAGTTCTGGTGGGAGAGGAGACTTCCTTTGAGAAACTCTTAATGATTTTTTCAGCTACACTAGAAAACATGGCACCGCTTCCATGCATTCAGTCACAGGCCTTTATTTTAGGGTGTTATGTTTACCTGGACACTGGTTCTTTCTCTTTGGTTTCAAAGACCTGTTTGCTGATGTGTTTCCCACTCGTGTGTGACCTGGCTTTGGGGTCTAGTGTTATCATAGCAGTAAATTTCTTATTTCATGCAAATACTTCTGCTTGTCCAGTCTTACTGCCATAGTGTGTGATGGTTTCCCAACGTGTGCAACACTTGCTTCTGGCAGCATGGATAAATGCCATAAAATACCACTCAAGTCCTGAGGAAGAGCTGAAAACAGCCAATTTAGGTGCCTGCTCTCCAGGTGCATTTATTCTGCTTTTCCTTTTATAAAGGGATTAAAGGTGGCAGCCCAGGTGTGTATGTTCTGTGTTAACAAAAGGAGATAAGCACTGAATTTTCTGAAGTCTCTGCAGCTTTGCACTCAGCTGCTCCATAAGGCAAGCTAAGAATTTTGATCCAGCCCTGGCTGGTCTGGCACCTGACTCAACTGACTCCAGATGTTCCTGTTACTGTGTTCATGCTTTTCCTTTTTTTCCTTTTTTTTTTTTTTTTTTCAAATGAGTTGTTCTATCTCGTGCATTAAAGAACAGGATTAAAAAAGCTTGTGAGTATTTGGAGTTTTGTGTTAAAGTTGGGGTTTATGTATTTTGGTCTCAAGCCATTGATGTTTTGCTAAGCTTGATGATGTTTTGTAGGCTATTGTATTGTCCTTTCTGATCTGATTCGAGATGTAGTTTGGATGAACTGTGAAGAAAATGCAACCTGAGAGAATGTTCTGATAGCAAAACTCCTGGACTGCATTTGCACAGCTGCTAAATTGCAGCAGTGCTCTCTCCCTCTGGCTTTCTGTGCTTTTCATGTCTTAGGTGCTGAAAATGGAAGCAATGAGTTCCTGTGAGGTCTTTGCTTAAATGTCTTCCATTTGGCATGGGAAAGCTCTCTCATTTTTGAGGGGAGAGAGAGCTGCTTAATCAAGAACTTTGAGTCAGGCATCACGAACAGCTGGTTTAGTGAGAAAGGCAAGTTGAGTCCTCAGGGAAATTGCTGTATAAAAATATTTCCTTATAAAAATGCTGGGAAAGTAATTTTAATGCTTTCTGCTCATGCTGAAGGCGAGCTGTTCAGTCCTATATTACTCACATGTTCTTGCTTTTTTCCTAAGATGGGCTGCTGATAGCATTTCTAAGGAGAAGTTCTGTGCTCTTGTAAAGGTGGTTTTGCAATCCATTTGAGTGCATCATGTCAGCCGCTGTCTTTGCTTATGCACAGCTTCCACTATCTTCATTTTATTATCTTCTGTTCCTTCCTGGAGGAGCAGTCCTCAGTTGTAAATGGACATCTTCAGCTCACTGGCTTGAGAGTCTCTGCTCTTCAGACGCTAGCACTTACCTGCTCCCGGGGTGGGAAGCACCTGTCCTTCAGCAGTCAGCATGGAGCCCACGAGGTGGCAACAGCAGTTTCCAGCTCTTGCTGTGGCCTGAGGCAGTTCTGTAGCTGGGGCAGAGGTGAACAGTTTCTTCTCTCCAGACAAAAATGCTTACAACCTCTTCTGGACAGATAGGGCATTCTCTGTAGTTGCCTACTTCATTGTCATTGTTCAAGCATAGCGTATACTTTTGCATAGAATCATTGGTGTGTAACTCTCCTTTAGCCTGTGAAAGAAGCTGCTGTTGCTTTAGGGTCTTGTAGGTGTGAGCCTGGGCTGTTCAGGCGTATTTCTTGTAGACATTGTTCCTGCTTCAGCCCTAACTACCTGCCAGGCAAACCCCAGGAAATACTACGCGGCACAGATACAGTTCTGTATAACTTGCATGCATAAGCAGTTTCCCCCAGTGAAAGGCTTTTCTTACCTTAAACTTCTCAGTACTATCCCAAGTAATAACAGTGACTCATGGTGTCCTCATACAGTGTAAATCCTGCTTTCTCTGCCCGATTTAGCTAGGCATAGAGGAAAAGCAGTTGGAAAGAACCTGGTTCTTCTGGTGAAGAAAATGCCATTATGAGATTTGTGTTGGAGTCGTTAGTGATAACAACAGAGCCAGTAGTTAGTAATTACAACAGAGCTCTGGCCAGGGCTTGCCCAGCAAACTGTTGCTAAAGGTTTGCAGAGGGAGGTCTGTAGGAGGGGAGATGACATTTCTGCTCGGACTGTGGCTGGGGGCAGCAGCATCTGTCAGTTGCTGTTGGCTGAAAGACATCAGTGGATGAGGCAGAAAGATCATGCTGTCTTTGCCCGGTGCCGTGTGATCTGTACGTTGGTTTCTGGGGCTCTGCTGTAATGGCCTTTCAAGTTAGTTGGCATTTCAGCATGGTTCCATCCTGTGGCCAGCTGCCCAGACTGCTGCTGAGTAATGTGTTATTTCTGATACAAGGTAATAGAAACCTTCAGAGAAACAACTGAGGGAACTTCAGCCTTTGAGCAGGGCCCATGAGGCACACGTAGGAAGTGCTGCTCAAGCACCGATTTTCAATTTTTTTTGGTTTTTCTTAAGAGTAGAGTCTCAGCCAACTTAATTTGGCCATTCAAGGGTCTTATGCCATCTCCTTCGTTCATTTGTCTATGAAGCAGATGACAGTGGGGCAGCAGTGTGCTCCACAGGACAGTGCTCTTAGCAGTTGCTTCTGCCACCCCCTTGTGAGAGCTGAGCCTAACACAAGTCAGCATTTCATTTTTTCAGTAGTCCATCAGCTGTGAATATGCAGTAGGGTGAAACCCACCAAACTGGCATGGAACTGACTTATGCTTATCTCTGATGCTGTAGGGGAATAGGGCATGAATTATGCTCTGCTCTGACTATGAGCTTTGTACTTCAGCTGGTATTCCTAATGGAGCTCTGAATTCCATTCCATGTTTCATAAAGTCTGATAGACCAACCTAGCTTTAGATTATCTCATAAGGTAACTTGATCAGGCTAAATTGAATAGACAGGGGACAGAAACTGGCTAATAGGGTATGCCAGCCTCTGAGAGAAATGTATGAGATTGAGTAGTTAAAAGTTAGGTAAATTCAAAATGCAAGTAAGAGTGTCTTGACAGCAAAGAAATAATTTGAGTTTAGGCTTCAGTAGACTTATGAAAAGCTACGGACTGAAGGGTCGCTGCATTAGCAAAAAATGGTCCAATTCAAATGAGAATTCAAGTGGAAAGATCTGAAAGCGTTGACCAGGCCTGGTAATCTCATTGCCCTTGATCTCACGGACACCACTGTTGCAGTTCTTTAATGCTTCTACAGCTATGGCGTTGGCTTGGACTTATACTCCATGTGCCTGTAGTTTAGGTAACTGTGAAGTCTACGTGCATATAAAGTTTGTACCCTGTAAATCCATGCTGAGATCCAGGGGTTTGTCTCCCAGTGCCCAGTACAGGGCCTGATGTGCTAGTGTGCAAGTTAACTGGTGTCTTTTCGAAGGCCTGTGAAACACTAACAAAATAGGACATGATCTTGCTCACTTGGCAGGCTGAAATTTTTTTATTAGAGATAAACAGGGTAATGAGTATATTGCCTGAAAGTGATCCCTAGTTAGTGCAGGTGCAGATGTGTCCAGCATGAGTAGCATGAGTAGTAAACGGCTCAGCTTTACTTATGTTGTAATACTGCGTTCTAATTCACAAGTTTTTCTATTAAGGAATCTCCCCCTCCTCAGTTGCCAGGTATCAGCTTCTAGAACATCGGTTGGACGTTTAGGTTGAAACTGTTTCCCGTTAGCGTGGTGATGTAGTTAATGCTCAGAGGAGGGTCCGTGGTGCGGTGCCTGCCTGAGCAGTTTCCAGCCCTGCGGGAGGAGCACTGCAGTCTTCTGCCACAGCGTGGGACAGGAGCCCACAAGGCAAGTGTGCATCTATCTGCAGTGCCTGTTCAGAAACGCCTGGGAAGAGTGGTTGGGGACGCATATGCCTTAAACGCGAATTCTGTATAGAGACGTGTCCAATTGGGATTCCCAAGTATAAGGACCTTCCCGAATTTAGGAGCCTAAAGGCAGCTTGATCCTTCTCTTCACACTGGTGATTCTGTGATGAGACTGCTTGTGGGAGATGTGTTCTGAAATCCTACCGTGTGGTCAAGAATGTGACCTGAATGTCTCACATAGCACCAGTCCACTGGTGTGTCGGCACAGCAGCTGTTTCTCATTTCTTTTCTGACTCTGTGAACTCTTCTCTGGCCCAGTGAGCAGTGAGTGAGCTTTCTGATGATTTGGGGAAGCTGTAAATGGGAAGGGTTCAGATAAGCAGTTTGAAAATCCATGATAATGAACATTGAGCTTTTTATCAGAAGAGGAGCTTTTCAGACAGACCAGGTTGCTCGGAATACTTGACAGCTTTAAAGCGTGTGCCTGTGCAAGGGAAGAAGTGGACATTTCCACAGGAGGTGGGAGATGTGGTTCCAAGTTCCCATCTTTAAATAAGGCAGAGAAACGTTTTTAAATGTGGTTCTCCCACACTACTCGCTGGGCTCTTTGGTGCCTGCTGCACCCTTCCCTCCCCCTTGCGTCCTGTGCTAGTTCCAATTCACAAAGCAAGCTAAGTAACACCTGCCAGCTTAGCAGCTGAACTTGATTTGAATAGAAGGGTAGTCAGAAATGATGAAAGCTGCTGGGAGTCTTGGTTAATGAGCCGATTACAGTTGGAAGATGCTATTCAAAGGATGTAATGGAAATATTTTGTTTAAGTAACAAGCAAATTAAATGGGAAGACTCGATAGGAGAGTTTGAACTACTTTTATTGTCATAACCTGTAGAAAGCCATGACTACATGTTAGGCAGCATTTAAGTCCAGCCTCTAAAATGGGTACGAAGTTCTTGGCTCTTGTGGTCCCTCTAGAGGCCTTGGTGCATGAGAACAGCTAGATAAAAGCAAGCTAGGTGTAGACAAATGTCTAAAGAGGTC